CCAGAACGAGTCAAAGCACTGAAAAATGACACATGGATTCCATGCCAGAACGAGTCAAAGTACTGAAATATGCTAGTGGCAAATCGACTAAGTACTGATACACATTTGTAAACATTTTTGTCAAGTTGATAATGTGAGATAAATGACTATTGAAAAAAATCATGGTGTCTATTTACTTTTGAGATGTCTCTGTAGTTGTGGTATCTGTTCTTCCTAGTAAAACTTCTGTGTTAGTGAGTGTCAGCCAGTCCAATTGAAAACTGTTTTTAGGAAATGCTACCATTTGCTGTAGTTGGAAGTAACCAACAGTATCCAGTCAACGGAAGGACTGTGTATGGACGAAGGACACAGTGGGGTCTTGTAGAGGTGGAGAACAAAGGTCACTGTGAGTTCTCAGACCTTAGGGATATGCTTATAAGGTTAGTTTTGTCTGAAACTTGAGATTAATTTCTTATTATCATCATAAACAGTAAATTATCTATTATAATTTTGTCTAACACAAATCAATGTCAATCTGAAAGTAACATTTAAAAAACAAATATGTATTACAGACTATTCCAGAAATTTGTGCTTTGATAAAAAAAGTCAATAATGTATTGTATGTGAAGTTCTAAATTTCCAGCTATTTCTCAAGATGTAAGTTTTTCAAATTTTCTCCACTGTTTTGGCCTAAGTAACTGCTAAATCTGCTATACTGAAGTAGCAACATCCTCATCAATCTACAGTTTTTTGTTAAAAATTCAAAAGGTTTATCCAGTAAAATTAAACCACCAAGACAGAATTTACTGAACATGTATCATCTCTAAACTAATGACAAGGATCTTTAACGTGGTCACATTTCTTGATTGTGACTTTTACGTCAAGAATCTATAACGCTGCAACAGTTCTTGGTTGTGACTTTTACGTCAAGAATCTGTAATGCTGCAACAGTTCTTGGTTGTGACTTTTACGTCAAGAACCTGTAACGCTGCAACAGTTCTTGGTTGTGACTTTTGTGTCACGAATCTGTAATGCTGCAACAGTTCTTGGTTGTGACTTTTGTGTCAAGAACCTGTAATGCTGCAACAGTTCTTGGTTGTGACTTTTTACGTCAAGAACCTGTAACGCTGCAACAGTTCTTGGTTGTGACTTTTTATGTCAAGAAACTGTAACGTTGCAACAGTTTTTGATTGTGAACTTTACTACAGGAAGTCAGTACTCATAAGTTATTAATTTGTGATTTTTGGAAAATTCTAAAGTTCACAAATTATTTTTAGATACCTGAATTACCAAAGAGCTACAATTAACCCAGTATCAAATGTAGATAATTAGTATACTATTCTTATTTATAAGCATTACAATATTTGACTCTTCAGTTGGGGGTCACCCCACAGTGTCACAGCAGTAAGTCTTTGGACTTGTAACACTAAAAACCGAGCTTCGATACCAATATTGGGCGCATCACAGATAGCCCATTGTGTAGCTTTGTGCTTAACTACAAACAAACACACAAAAAATTGTCATTTGGGTATCCTTTCCATTACAATTTAAAATGAGTTAAATTTAGCTGAGTGATAATAGTTTTTATAATGTCCGATACAGTGTTTTCTACTGTTAAAAATAAATAAAGATAGTATGAAATCAGTCCCATCTCTCACACTTTATATTTTTTGTCAATAAAACGTTAAGGATGATAATGATAGTTTTGTAGAATCAACAACATGACATCTTCAGTCACGGTGATCGCATGGTGGAGGAGGTGGTTACCAGGGCTGGGTTTGAACTCGCACGCTAGCTACTGAATGTCTATTTTAACCTTTAAACTTTTTAGTTGAAGTTTTCATGTTGCTAATAACTTGATGTTTTTATATTCTTATTCCTTTTTTTTTACATGAGACTGTTTATGAATTTAAATATATTTTGAAAATGTAGAATATGTTTGGAAGGTGTTGTTTCAATGAACTGTGATTATAAGTGGACAGTTTCATTAATAAAGATCAGAACTTCAAGCAGCATCACCTGGTCAACAGTTACTCCACAGTATTAACTAGATCTAATGGAGTTTCAAGTGTACTGTGTTGTACGTTTATACGAGTATTAGTTACACATTGAGAGAGGAAGTAATTGTAAGTAATAATAATTTGCTGTAAGTTAGATGACACATGTATTCACATAATATCTTTAGAATCGTTAAAGGCTAGATAACATAAAATATGCAAATTACTAACCCTTTTTTACTTTACCTTAAATATAACCGTAAAATCTAAAAAAAAGATTAGTTTTATGCAAGACTGTGTGAAAATTATGATATACACTCGGCACTTTATGAATGAGATTAACATTCGTATACAGAAGATTAGCCCATTAAGTTTCATTCTTGTATCCAGGTGCTCGATCGTAGTCATCTACTTCAGGTAAATTGTTGAAAGTACCATTCCAGTTCTCTCTCTCTTGTTTGTAACGAGTCGTGTGTTAAAAATTTAATCTGAAATAATAAAGTGTAATGTTATCTATGGCTCTAAAGATGCTCCTACCCCCCATTTGCTATCTTTTAACGTGATAGATGGCCCAGTTTTTTTAAGCTACTTTGATACGTCTTGCGTATCACAATATTCCACTCAAACTATCTTCTACAAAGATTTGTTTTTATTTCTGTCCACTTGATGAGTTCGTTGTATCTTAAAGTCGGTGTGTGGTGTAACATGCATTACTAGAGGATATAAAGCCCAAAACAAGTCTCATTCAGTTACAACAGCTGAAATATTCTATGGGAACAGTTTCAGTAAAAGTTTTGTTTATTCAGGACACACATGCAAGACCTAGTGGAAGTAACTCGATCTGTTCACTACGAAAACTTCCGACATGAACGTCTGGCCTCACGACGAGGACGCACCCAAATCAATGGACAAGTTATAGACATGGACAGCATGAATGAAAGTAGTCTTTAAGTTGACCAAATACTACCTAATAATCCCAGATAAAACTCCTGTTAGCAGAACAAGTGGTTGATTTTAACATGTTTGTAGCAGACATGGAAAACTTGGGGGGGGGGGTTAGCCATAAACATTATGCATTTGACAAGACATGATGATTCATATTAAAACTTTAAAACTCATCTCTTCGTGTCATATATATATATATTATTAAACTTTTTTTTTGCTGTTTTTTAAAGGTTTAATATCTTTTAATTGTTTTGTTTTTATAATTTCATCTGAAAATCCTAATGATGCATTGTAATGCTGTTTCATTTAAGTTTTATTGTATAGATGCCAAGCTGTTTATGATCCAAGTGTTTCAGTTGGTGGACGTTACTTAGAATCTCGAAGTAGTATAGTATTTTAACATGTTGACGAAAATTAATAAATCCTGTATTTATTGTACTATCTGAATTATATTGTTTTTATTAATATTGATGTGTTATGAATTACCCAAATGTGCACACTTGTTATAAGAGTGATGTTAACTAAAACAAAAACCTTAAATACCTTCGAGGGGTACATATATATATTATGAAATTTCTTGTATCGTATTTTCCATGCATGTAACATCATGTGCTCCGTCATCCATTTTCAAACATCTACACACCATTTCAGTTTCATGTTGTGCCTTCCGTGGATTATTTACTCGTATGTACGTACGTTTTTACCATTTTCACTGGATCATTATTGTTTTAATACCTACTAGTAAAGTTTGTAAAGACGAATCACATTTTAAATTTTTTTTATAGGATCCTTTTTTCTTATAATAACTATAACAGTTTTTATGTGGAGGAGATTCTTCATATTTTTTTCCTTTTTGAAATATATATATATCACTGGGTTTTCGTATGTGCAACACTAAGAGGTAAATTTGAAAACCTTTAAAAAAAAGTTTAATTGATATGATGCATATTAATCTCATTTAAACATTCTGATGGAATAATGATAAAAATGATGTTAGGGAAAGTTGACAAACTATGGTACCGTATTATTTAACTTGGAAGATTAAAGCTAATTATTATGTTCATATTTCTTACAAGATTGAATTACGAAAGTTAGTTTCCTGATTAGGAGAAACTGTTTTTTTGTAAACTTTCTTCTTTATGATATCCCAGTGCTTAAATAAAACAAATCTGAGTCTTTATTCTGTTTTAGTGATTTCCAAAAAATATGAGTGTTATGAAAGTGTAATTGTACTAATCTAAAATAATCGCACAGTCATGTAATTATAAAAAAAATATTAGTTCTTGAAAAATTTAAATTGAAGTCTTTTTTTTTTTTTCTCTTTTAACTGTTTCACCTGAAGAGGAAAAAAAAAATTAAGAAACTTAAAATGGGTAGATTTTATAAACTGTAAACCATTTTCAGGAAATCGGGCTATTCAATCTATCCTTCAGACTTTATTCCTTTCCTAAAAACAGAGGTGTCGCTAGGTGCTTAAGATTTGGGGCTTGGGCCCATGGGAACAGGAAATTTTCAGTGTTTAAATATGATATTGATCATGGTTATCTAGTCTGATTTTTTTTTGAAGTCATTGACTGGGGATTCGGGGCATTGTCGAATAGAATCGGGGCACAGGTGCCATGTATCATTGCCCAGCAACAACTTTGCCTAAAGATAATGTAAAAAGCTTTAAAAATATTTTTTTCTTACACAATGTAAGATTGAAAATAGTTTAATTCATCCTTTCCTGATGATAAATAATACAAAAGTTTTAACAATATTCTTTCCTAAAACTGCCTAAGATTTAGAATAGACACTAATCCAATTTATCTAAGCTCACTGTGTAACTTTAATGGTAATAGAAGACTGACAAACGAATAGTTTGAAAATAACAAAACCTCACTAAAGTTTGTTCATAATTGAATGGTGGTTCAGTCTTTCCTGTACATTTTTGTTTGAGTTACTTAAAGAACACCAGATATCTTTAATCATTATCCATCATGTGTAATTTATTGCAGTGCAATGTATGTTTTACGAAATCTACCGTATTTTTCGGAATATAAGACGTACCCTTATTTTGAAGACAAAGTTTTGGGGTAAAAAAGCTACAGTCGCATTTGAAAGATTTTTATTCAACAAAAATTCAATTTGATACTTTAAAAATTAGTATATATTCTAAACACAAAAGAGCATTTCAAAATACGAAAATACCGTAAATCAAAAAAAGATTTACTGTTATTTAGTTTTGTTCAAAACCTACAAAATCTTCATTGCTTTCACTGTAAGTTTATTTTTTTTTATTATTTAGGGAGCATTATAAATAGTTTTGTTTTAAAAGAAAAAAACTATTATTGTTTTAAATAACACATTCAATTGAACTAAACTATGCATGCCTATTTAAATATATTTACACATGGCTTGTGTATATCATATATATACATATATATTATTCATACCTTCGATGTATAGGTATTGATTTTGACATCAAGTTTTGGGGTAAAAAAAAGTGCGTCTTATACACCGAAAAATACGGTACTTATATTTTTTATTTCTTGACTAGCTCAAAGTTCTTTAATATCTTCAAATAAATATATCAGGATAAATAGCTTACTACTAATCTTGTTGGAAGATAGAGTC